TACGAATTCAAAGATAAATTAGTCACGATGATTTCCAGGGGGAACCGCGTGGAGGTCGAACTGATAAGGTGAATTGCTAGCAATAGGTCAGATAGTCCCCATTATTAACAATCCATTCCTCCCTCTACTTTGTGGTTTTTTTTTAATGGGTGATAATGGAATGGTTACCCCGCCTGTGCTTTCGGTATACACTAGCGTGGTATGGAGTGATGTATGATAAATGAGGATGAAGTAGGTCAGTTAGCCCATCGTGACGAATTCAAGAAGAATTGTTCACGATGGTTTCCAGGGGGAACCACGTGGAGGTCGACCTAATAGGGCATATTGCTAGCAATGGGGCTGTCAAACTCCATTGCTAACAATCCCTTTTCCCCCTTCTACTTTGTGGTTCTATTAACGAAATTAAACGTTTTTAAAAATTATTTCTTCTACTGTCACTTTCTATTGTGTTTTAAAATTCACATGGAATGGATAGGGACGGAAGATAATGCAAATCATATTATTTCTTAGTTTAAGTTTTTCTTAATGGCAGCACTTATGACAGCCTTTTCTAAAGTGGGCGGTAACGCCCCTTTGTGGGCGCTGCAGGCCTAAAGCGGGGCGATAAGAGGCCCAGAAAAAAATTGGGGCCTTATGTAGAGGCTTGAGGGGTGATTTGTTGATCTTGAAGTAATTGTGGTTTTTAAGTAGGTGAAAAAATGGGGGCGCTAAAAAATAATTTATTCTCAAAGTGGGCATTAGGCAAAATAAGTTTGGGAACCCCTTATTTATGGTCTATAAAAAAGAAAAATATTGTATCTAAGTATTAAGTATATGTTTATTTTACTGCTCTTTCCATGTATTAAATAAAAAATGATTTTTTTATGTATTTTATTAATTACATACACTGAACATTTTCATTAAAGAAGCATGTGTCAAAAAACAATAATACATTTTCAGTCTCCATTACTAATACAACGCTCTTTAGCTGTTCATTCTCTATATGAAACCCAATTTCTTAAATCGTTTTTTGAATTTTTCATTCACATTTTTGTTCTAATATATTTTATAACATGGGCACATTCTTCACGCACCCTGTATACAAAGGCAATCCTCCAAACATAATTAAATCAGTTACAAAATTGTTCACATAATAATGTCTGACAGAATAATTAGTAAATCAAGTACTTAGTATTTAACTTGTATGTGTTGAACCGAGGCGTCTGGCAAGTGTCAGAACAATGTTATGCACCATGCCGCGGTGTGCGGCCTCGGTTAATCAACGTATATGTTGCAGTTAAAACTGTTAACCAGTCAAAAGTACTATTGACTAGCAAAACCAAAAGTACTTTTAACTGAACAGGTTGGTCAAAAAGTGGTTTTGACTGAAAATTATTGGTTACTAGCGACCCGCCCCGGTTTCGCACGGGTACACATTACACCACATCACATTAGAAACCTTTAAAATTATCAGTGTTTCTCTACTATATTATGCATGCATTATACATATAAACCGTCCTCTAATATCACTATCTATTAAAAAAACCCGCTTCAAAATCCGTTGCATAGTTTTAAAGATTTAAGCATACATAGGGACAGATAGACAGCGACAGTGACTTTGTTTTATACTATGTAGTGATTCGTACTTTTGACTGCAAATTTGCAGTTAAAAGTACTTTTAACTGACGCTCTTCGTTAAAAGTAGTTTTAACTGCAATAAAGCACCAGTCAAAAGCACTATTAATTGATTAGATGCAAAAAAAAAGATATTTATTTTAATGTGAAATCGTTTATTACGAAAAATTTGGCATTACAACCAAAACATACATTTTTTTTATTCGTGGGGAAATGCATCATGCAGACCCAAACGCCCCGGGGGAGGCGTATGGGTACTGCCGGACTCCTACCGGCTAAAACCACTACGGCATCCCTCGCCGCGCCATAGTGTTGGGGACCCGGGTTCCCTTTCGTAGTCTACCGAGTCCCAACGGCGTTGGCCCGCACCGGCTTGCGGGCCCCGACTCAAATATGGAGCAGGCGCCTGATGTTAAGCGCCCACCCACTTCACAACCAAAACATACTAACCTAACCTAATCTAAGTAAATTAGGTTTTTTTTAATGGATGATAACCCCGCTATCGGTATATACCGGCGGGGCACCAGTGAAGGATGATAGGTGAGTATGAAGCAGGTCAGTTGGCCCATCGTGACGAATTCAACAATAATTGTTCACAATGGTTTCCAGGGGGAACCACGTGGAGGTCGACCTAATAGGGCATATTGCTAGAGTAAATTAGGTTAAATTAGATTAGGACTTTTTAAGAGTTTTGACTGATACAAGCAGTCAATACCACTTTCGACAGAATCAGTTAGAAGTACTTTTAACCAGCTCCATTGGGCCAAGTATTTTTAACTGTTATTTGAGTCAAAAGTATTATTGACTAAAGCATACGATCAAAAGTGCTTTTGACTGATTTTGCTAGTCAATAGTGCTTTTGACTGGTTAAGAGTTTTGACTGCAACATATACAAAATACACACTCAAAATTATACTTATGAAGTGTTACATGATTCTTTACTTCCACCTGAAATGTTTGTATTAATAAAATTAAAAACAAGCTTCTAAATTCGATCTTGTGATGGCCTTCCATTGTGATTAGGTCCTAATAATGTAGGGAGGGGGGAAAGGGATTGTTAATAATGCCGAATATTAGTCGCATTGCTAGAAATATTCCCAAGTATTGGTTTCTGGAAATTCCCTTTGAAACCAAATCCGTACTGGTGAAGTTGCATGAAACGTTGGTTCTTCAAAAGGGGTGTAAAGAGGTTTCTTCAGGATCGGCAACGCGCGCGTAATACCTCTGGTATTGCAGGTGTTCATAGGCTACTGTAACCGCTTACCATCAGGTGGGCCGTATGCTTGTTTGCCACTTCAGTGCTATAAAGAAAACGGCTAGCTTTCAGCTTCATTTCGTAACTGTAAAATTCTAAAACTGTCTAAGTTATCAAGTCCCTTGATGATAAGTATGTTAAAATAATACCCTTGTCTGTCGGCTGTTATCACGGGGGATTTACAGGCCATGTTTGTTTTTGATATTACGAAATGTTTTCTGTTATCTACAATTTATTTTTACCTTTCAATATAACCGGTTACCACCAGTTTTTAGCTGCGGCTGCGACTTCATTCGCAGATGTAAAGGATAGATAAGGATAAAGATGTATTATATCCGAAAAATAGGTAATATCTAGCAATATCTATATATTGTAGTTATAATATCTATGCATATATTGGCCTAATAATAGATATATATCTGTTATCCAATATATAGTACCGAAAAGAACCCGCTCGTAATGAATATAGATATCCGACTAATGCGGGCGATATCGCAATGGGTGCATCGCAAATGCAAAACCATACAACTTTATTTTTGTATGGTTTTGCTTTTGCGATTTCTTATTTATTTCCAGTTACACTTAAAATATGCTCTATGGGGTTTTTTAATGGGTGATAATGGAATGGTAACCCCATCCACGCTATCGGTATACACTGGCGGAGCACCAATGAAGGATCATAGGTGAGGATGAAGCAGGTCAGTTAGCCCATTGTGACGAGTTCGACAAGAATTGTTTACGATGGTTTCCAGGGGGAACCACGTGGAGGTCGACCTAATAGGGCATATAGCTAGCAATGGGGCTGACAAACTCCATTGCTAACAATCTCTTTCCTCTTACTCTATGGGGTTATGCTCGGAGTCTCTTTGTGTGATAGAATCCGGAACGGGGATATCTGAAAAAGAACCAAAATAACCGACATAGCCCGAAGGATAAGCAAGCTGAAATGGCAATGGACTGGTCACATAGCTTAAAGAAACGACAACCTATGGGAAAGAAAGGTTTTTGATTGGCGACCGTGTATGGCAAACGTAGTGTAGGACGACTCCCCACTAGATGGAGTGATAACGTGAAATGCATTGCAAGGAGTCAGTGGATGCAGGCTCAGGACCGTTCTTTATGGCAGTCTATTGGGAAGGCTTATGTCCAGCAGTGGACGGATAATGGCTGAAATGATGATGATAATAGTTAAAATAGCGATCACCTCTATTTCAGTCAACATACTCCCAAATGTCAAGCCTATTTTTCTACTTATCATAATGATAGAGCAGCTATTTATTGAACCAAACCGTCTTCGATACTGATCCTGACGATACTGAAGATCAACCTATAAAGTTTTTTTGAAACATACAACTTTTTCTGTAGAATGGTTTGTTTTTATTGTGTTGGGTAAAGTTGCCAAATTTCGCTTTTTTAGATCATTTCAAAATAAATGGAAGTTTTCGCTATTTCCTTTCTTATTCGAATTATAAATCAACTTTTTAATATTTAATTATATATAAAAGATAACAAAAAACTGAGATGTAATAATCGAAAAAAAAAAAACAAAATATGTTGAACCACTTGAGCATAAAGCAAAAAATAGATATCATTTTTCATACGTTTAACTGTTATTACTGGGAGGGGTCCTGTGTTGATCACGTGACGGTTGCCAAGCAAGCGCACGCGCATCCTATTGAAACAATTTAAATCGTTAATAGTAAACTACTGATCAATGTAAAGATAGAGATAATAGTCTCTCATAGTCGTGGTGAAATATAGAATTGTAAACTATGTTAAATAAATACATCTTGAACTACATAATGTGTTTTCTAGTTTGTAAATCATGTTGTTGTGGAAGGATCCGACGCTTGCGCAGTTATCAGGCGTATGATAAAAACCAAGATTTTTGTTTATTTAATGTCACTATTACCTGTAAAATAATAACCTGTGTTCATTAAATTTAATAAGAGGATAACGTCTTCATAATCCTAAAGAATATTATGCCTTCCTCTGTCCTCCGAGAGAAGGAAAAAAGTAGGTACATTGCGTCACTCGCATCGTTTTCAGTAATTTACCTGTTACACCTGATAGCTGCGCAGGCGCCGGATCCTTCCACCACGATACGGCCATATTATCAAACTCGTCAGAGTAGTCAGTGTTACTCGAAACGCCGGCGCGTGCGGACATTGCGACCTCGCTCACAAATTACATCACACGTGTTTTTGTGAGTAAATAATCGGAGTATACCAATTCGTGTCAATTAACTGGAACTGTGTTGTGTGTGAGTGTCTGTCACATTGGATTGTTGGAGCAACTTGTTTCCAAATTAGTTCCAGCACAGTTCGGTATGCCGAGTCGGTTTTGTTTATTTTGATGACGCCAGAAAATTACGACGAAATCTTAGTAATGTTTTGGTTTCAGTCTATGATTAATTTGTGTGAGATGCTTGTGTTAAAGTCTGTAATCATTTTGTAATTGAAATCTCCTAAGATATTAATACTGTCATAACAATTGTCATTGGATCGTTACGCGTTTGTAACTTCAATAGTTTTAATATTATCAATGGGCAAAGTGCTCGTCGAGAAGTGACTTTTATTAATTTAATGTACACATCAGTTATCGCTCTTATTACTGTGGCATTAAATGTCTTTTCTCATTGTATTTGTGATCTACCCAATACTATTTATTAGTTCATACAACACTGAATTGATGGCATCGAGATATAAACAATAAGAAATCAAAGAACATTATCCTTAATCAATTGAACGAGTGAGGTCGAATAAGAGAAAAATTATTTGCGACCTACTCTGTTAACATATCAATAACGGAATTCAATATTGATTATCGTAAAGAAAATGTTTTAAGAATTATAATTGTATGTACTCGTAATGTTGAAACAGAAAATCGATTTGTTCCAGTTGTTTAGTTTGCTTTGACACAACCTATTATCGCATATAATAATTTCTCATTTTATTAAAGATTGATCGAGATAACAGTAAACTGTATTGTTCATGTTTTATTTCTTCTAATACAAAGTTTCAATCAACACATACGGTTACATTAAATCGATATCAAAGTGAAATTAACTTTAACAGTGAATTTTAAAAGACTTGCAGATATATTTATGAGGTAACAAACAAAAATAAATACAAACGAATTAAAAGCTTTCTACTTTTTTAAGTCAGCTGTAAATGATATTGACGTTATTAAAGAAGCTACTAAGACTGATATTAGGTTAAATTAAAGTAATCGATTAAGGATCCCAATTGTTTTTATCTTTAAAGTTTCTTTTGGTTTTAACTTTAAAGTTTGAACTTTATTGGATTCGTAATTAGATTCTTTCAAGTACATAATGAGAAATTGCCAGCATTTGTTTATATCTAATTGAAAAATTTGTATTCTAAATTGATCTGATTACAAATTTGCATCTCAAAATGCACAATTTATTAATTCTATTTTGTATCTACTTCACTTAACTCGTAATATGCATAGCCATTTTTTTTTTTATGTATAAAATCTGGTTAGTTGGTATTTCTATGTTTTTATATTGCTTTTTTATTATCATTATTAAAATCTAACTTTTTATCAGCATGATGCTTGACATTCTGATTTACATCTCTATCATATTTTGGTCAATTGTTTCCTTTGCCATAACCATATTTGTATCATATTTAAAAAAAAAAAGTTAAACTTTTCGCATTCCTGCGTCCTTCGTTTAACCAAGTTAACAAGCTAAATTAGTTATTTAATAACGCTCCGACACTGTTCGTGTCGTTGTACAAAACTCACGCGCAACATAGACGTTAAACAATTTGATGAACACTAGCGTGAATTATACGGAATGCTATGTCGCGTAGGTACCTACTTCAAGTTCATTACATCTGTTATAGGTTAATTATTATTAAGGAAAATATTTTCTAAATTCTCCAACTTTACTTTGAAATCTTTGAAGATAGGTTGTAAGCGTTTGAAGAAGTTATACATTCTTTAATCCAACTCAATAATAATAATATTAGATATAATGACAAAACTGTTAGTGATTTATAGAGAAATGAAAAGATCTCTGCATCTACAAATGCATACGTTTATATTTTCATTGATATTAAAGACAATTAGGGCAATGAAATAGAAACTGATGCTGTAAATGGAACTACAGAAGATACTTCAAGTACTATATGTTTTATAGCAAAAGAATATGATCATATGTTATTATTTACGGATACATAATACAAGCGCCAGTTCTCCACAAAATTAGATTTTGTTTTGCAAATTAAACGTTCTGTTAAACTTTGATTAATTGTGAAGGAAATAAATAATTACATATTATTAGGTATATCATTTATCCATTAATTAAATACGAACTAAACAAATACGTATTTCAATCAAGTGTATTAAATGTAAACAGTATTTTAATTAAACCGGTTAAATTGTTTAAAATATTAGAGATATTAGATTTATTATATTAGATAAGAGAATTAAGATAAATTCGAAAATAACATATGTCCATCTTACCACAGTGTAAAGAACTTTTTTCATGTAATACGTATGAAGACTTCTTACATTGTTCCTAGACCTTTAGTTCCAACTCCAAAACTTCCAAAACTCTATATTATGACGATGCGATAAATTACAAACTATATGGCTATGGCTCGGTTATCTACAGTATTATTGAAATTTCTATTAGGAGTTTTTGTTATTAATAAATACTTTTAATGGATCTGCGACAAACTGAATTTGAAGTATTGAAAAATTTAAATCCTGCGAAATCTATTAAACCTAAATTAATAAACGTAAGATTGCAAGTTTATTACAATGACAAATTACATAGTGTGGATGCGTATTATCTCAGTGCTCAGGAATAGCTGTGTATAAGGTATATCATAGTATGTTATGTCTACAGCGCGTTTCATGTCTGTAAGTGACGTTTACCTACTATTCTCAATTAGGAAGCCTCCATCCCGTTTGCCAATATAAGCTGCATCAAAAAGAGAGCAGTAGATTAATTAATTAGTTATTTATTATTTCACGATATAAAACCACATTACCTCTTAATAACCAATCACGAAATTTGAAATTATGTAGCTGGCAAAAGAGATAGATAAATAGATACTCTTTATTGTTTCCTTCAAAATATTACAATAGTAAACTTATTAGAGAGACAAACAATTACAAGAAATGATCACACTGAGAAAACAATGGGCGACCTTATCGCTAAAAGCGGTCTCTTCCAGGCTACTTGATGAAAATTATGTTTTTAAAGGCATATGGAGATGTATTCCATGCAGTAATATAAATATATATCCCTATATATATATATATATATATATATATATATATATATATATATATATATATATATATATATATATATATATATATATATATATATATATATATATATCCCAATAAGATAAAAAAATTGGAAATTTTTACGACAAAAAAGGATTACTGCGTAGTTAAACCTTGCAAGAAATAGCTTGTATAATATGATAATGAGAACTGATTTCTTTTTAAAATCAAATGAGTCAGCATTGATACCTTTTTAGGGTATAGGTTAATCTGTTGCAGCACTACTACACCAAAATTTATATTAATTTAGACAAGCGACCTAGATTGTAAATATGGCTACTTAACAAGCCTTTATATCTCATTATAGATATTCAATTTCAAATAATCTTTATTCGAATAGACATTGTTTACAAGCTCTTTTAAGTCGTAATATTTTTGCATTGTTTTTATATGTAGTTATCTGCAAAAAGTACTCGCAGGAAACTTAATAATTACCTCTTTTGAAGCTTTAATAACATTATGTGTATTTATTTAAATATACTATGTCTAAAATTACATGGTAATTAGAAAGTCCATGCATGATCTACTTTACTAGCACCATGCACATTTGTTTTCATGTCTCGAGAATTTGTAAAATCTTTGTTTTCATCCATGACTTCATCCTCGTGGCTGGGATAAAAATTGGGCTTGTCATATCTCAAACAGTACATTAACTCCTTTCCTGGTGATTGGTCGAGTCGTTAATATACAAGAGCAGATGAAGTAATAGGAAACGAACTCACTTTTACATTTTTGATACTGTTAAGGGAATGGGTGACGTAATTTTGAAAAGATATTTTTAGAAAGAGAAATTTTTAATTTTATTACCTAAAAAGAACACATTTGAGATAAAATTCCAATGTGTGAAAGATTTTAACGGAAACGTTCCAGATTTTGTTGTGGTTACAATTCAGTATGTTATTTCCTTTTAGGATAATTTTCTCGTTAATTTATTTAACTAATTCCACGTGAACGAATCAGCAAACATATAGTTTATAAATATTAATCAAGCATTTAATCAACAAACCGGCACCGGTAAAAATGACGTCAGGGATACTGAGAAAATTGCATCCGAACAAGGATAAGCTTAGATTGCAAGAACCATTTATTTTATTGTGTTTAAACAATTCAGAGCATTTGTACATTGCAAATATTTTTATAACAGTCCACAAAAACTTGTTTCCATTGCTTGCAAAAGCTTTGACCTCTTCGTTCTGCAAGTTTTATTGATTAATGATTAAAAAAAACCTGTACTGACGTATTAGCATAGCGTAATGATAAGTGACCTCAACAGTAACCTTAACCTAAGCAAGTGAACTGTTGATCTAAATTTGATCAGATCGGCATCGGTGCAGTCAAGTGTATTATTAGCTTTACTTTATATCTTATTGACTGTATAATAAGGTTCAAGTTTATGTTTTGCTTTATTAAAAGATTACTAAACAACAGCAGATTCTCTTTGAAAATTTATTCATTATTTTTATATATATGTATATTTTTATGGAGTTCCCCAAGGATTTATTTTAGGTCACATTTAATTAAATGTTTTTATTGCCAATTGTCAATCAAAAGTTTCTCAATTAATTTGTAATAAATAAATATGTAAATTAAGGTTTTAAATTTAAAGACTAATCTATCCTAGGTTATGTTAATTGGTAATTACGGTTTCTTATCAGTTAAACCTAAGAATGACACCGTTTCGGTTTTCCATTATAACATATTAAATAATGTGTAGTTTTTGTAATTACCGCGTAAAAACCAAAATGCTAAGGTCATGAATGTATCTTGAAACGAAACTTTATTTACAAATCACCATTAACAAATTTTAATGACGTTGCATTTTGAGCATGTCATTAGCAAGACACTGTTCCGTTTAATAACTTTTTTTTATGACTTTGCTGGTACAATTCGTTGCATATGATTATTTAATAACTAATTGGTGTATCAAAAAGTAATTCTTTTTAAATAACAATTTCTCATTATACTCGTATAATGTTTTAGATAATTTAAACGTATTCCTGTGTTTATGATAGAATCACGTGCATATTTGCTGTTTACAGTTAAACAAGAAACTT